CACATCCCTGCTGATGGCTCCACTGTTCTTCAACCAGGCACAGCAGATGTGCACAGCTGCCAGACAGCCTGCTTAGAAAATTAAAGATATCGGAGCTATAAATAAGGAATATGTAACTATGAATACAGCAACACCAAAGCATTAGGGACATTTAAAAAAATGAGTAAGATGTGACATAAACACATCTCATAGTTCTCTTTGTAAGCCACTTTCCACTGACTTACAAAGTTATGGTTTTATAATTCTTTTTAAAAGGAAATTTTTTTTCTACACTGCTGTATGCAGTAATTTTACTGTTCATTCTTGACTACAGTGCACTCTTAAAATCCTCTTGCACAGCTTGGCATATCAAGAGTTTTCCAGAGTCAGCTTGTTGTATTTTCAGCAGCCTTCAGCGCTTCAGTAGCCTTGTGAAGTTCCTTAATGACTGACCATAAAGCTTCTGGGTTAATGCCTTGTTCACAAAGTCGTACACAAATGGACAGAGTTTCCATATCTAAGCCCGTATTCAAAATTTTTGAAATCTCAAGCAGAACGTCCATGGTCTCCCTCACCGCGCTGAGGTTGGCTGTCGCCACCGTCCCCGATGCTCAGCCACCGCTGCCGCTCACCATGGCTAGGCCGAGAGGTGGGAGCCGGGCCTAAACCAGAACACTTGCTTTAATTTTCTACATGTTTTGAAAGGAAATCACATACATGTCTAAGAAGGATTAAATATAATCTTCAAAGTCTCAACATATGTAACAATAGTAGGGTGTGAATTGAACTTTCTGAGTTGAAATATTCCTTTCATGAAACTCAGCTCAAAGAACAAAGGAGATGTAGAATTTTCCTCTACACAAATCCTAAATTCAAGAGAGAGTCTTGCTTCTCCTTGGAGCAGGAACCTTCTAAGGACTGTGTAAGCCACAGGTACCTGGAGGTTCTGGTTTCTAGGAGTCTGCGCTCCACCCAGGGCTAGTACATCCTCTCAGGTTCCCCAGATCTGGAGCAGGAACACAAGATTGAGTGCCCTAGTACATAATCTAAATTCATTTATGACTGAGAACAACTTGCGATATTGGAGATGGCATATTTGACAATATGTATTCTATCTCTGTCTCTACCTCCATCTCCTTCTCTGTCTCCTTTTCCCTCTCCCTCCCCTTATCAGTCTCTCTCTCTCTCTCTCTCTCTCTCTCTCTCTCTCTCTCTCTCTC